CGTAGCAAACTCCAATTTTAATTTTAGATCAGTGAGCAGTATATATATATATATATATATGCAAAAACTGACTTCCAAATTTATTTTTGTTTTATTTTATTGATTTATTTTATTTTATTAATATCTGCAGCCGTGCTATGTAATTACTTTTTCAGGTTTTTTGATTCTGGGCCCATAGTTTACAAGAAAAGTGTTTGAACGATTCATGGTTCAGGGCACCAAACACTGCAGATAGTACAACTTTGTTGTTCACTCGTTCAAATACTTATCTTGGTGCTATTGATAATCGTACATGATTTCTTTATGCGGGAGGTGATAAAATTTTTAGGTAAGTCACAAACGGGAAGACAACGCATGAAATAGTCTTTAATTAGGGACATCTGACGTTTCGGACCAAGCTCGGTCTGACTCTTGGTGCTATGTCATGTTTTGCGTATTTTCATTAATACAAATGTTAGTTATGTTCACTCTTGATCTACTGATCGTCACTTACCAAAGATTGATTAAAGTCATATATTTATGTGAATCGTTTAAGCCATATTTTGTTATTTGATTGCAATTATGGCTAAGCGTCAAGCGACATATGTACAATGTTTCAAATTGGAATAAATCGCGAAAAAGCAAAACTCAATACTATTAAACTCTGACCAATATTTCAGTTCTGTCTCATACAAGGGAACAAAACAATTGTCACAGGTAATGACAGATGTTGCTTGACTACTAAAGCGAAACAAACCTTATATTTTACCTTTGATACATTAGCTAATTTATTCAGAGTTTAAGCGTAAATCTTCAGTGAGATGAGATATCGAGATGCATATACAGGTATATAGAGAGGAGATATACAGTTAGAGAGATAGGCATTGAATTTGCCTAAATAACTTAGATGCACATTATCAGCAATAACGTAGCCTACGAGGAAAAACGACTACCATAACGTCAAGATATTGCATCGCATGGCACATCGAAGGATGGTGGAGTGAGTGATACCGAATCGCTGCGGTTGCAGCGAAAATCTGCAATCGACGCAAAAATGGTCAGCATAAAAGTCTGTGGTTACGTCTTCAAGGCAAATAGCCCCTTATATTTTTGAGATAGCTTTTTCCATGAGTATGACACTCATATCTAATACTGAAATGGACGGACTGAAGAAGGAGGCTACAATCCATGTTGATTACTGAATAAATCACGTTGAGTTCATTTAACCATGAACTCTGTCTTAGAATAACGGATGAATACTCATGGATTAGACTGCAAGAAATTCCAGACTACGTTGGATTAAAAACCATGAAAATAGCGAACAAAAATCATTGTCCACATCAGCCATTGGGATTGTCAAAACCGGTAACAAGGA